ACAGGGGAAGGCGCCCCACCTCCCCAATTGGCCCTGCTCTGAGCCAGACCAGGGGCTGCACCTAGGGATTGGGCCTGCCCTCTGCCATCCGGGAGCAGGCCTAAGCCAGCAGGTCGTTATCTCCTGAGGGGTCCCAGACTGCGAGAGGGCACAGGCCGGGCTGAGAGACACCCCCTTCCCCCGAGTGCACAAATTTTTGTGCACCGGGCCTCTAGTAATATATAAAGAGTGCCTACAAATTAGAGAAACAAAGGTAAATAACCTAATAGAAAAATGGGCAAAGATAATAAGGTCCATTTTACAGTGAGAGAAATACAAAACGAGAAAAGGCTTATTTTAACAGACACAAAAAATGTCCGTTAAATCAGGGATGATAAATGTTTGCCTTTCATATTGGAAATGATTAAAAGTTCCTGGGAAGAAGCATTCTCAGGACCTGTAAGTTGGTGGAGCTTCTTTGAAGGATAATGTGATGGTATCTAGCATATTGGAAAATAAGCATACTTTTTTATTTAGCATTTCAACTTTCATCAGTTATCCTCTAAAAATACTTATTTGAGCATGTAAAAAAATACATGCAAAGGTATTTATTACAGTACTGCATCTATTTAAAGGTTGATTATTGGAGAATTACTTAATGAATTAGGATAGATTTAGATAATAAAATGTTAGTTAACCACAACATTTTGTTAAATTAAAACTGCAGGTTACAAAACAGTATATGTAGTATGAAACATTTTTGGTAAATAATAATAATATTTAATGATATAGTACATAGGGAAAAATTTGTAATAAAAAATTATAATCATAAAAATTAGCTTTGTATAATTACATTTTTCTTATCCTTTAGGCTAAGAAATGTTTTTAAATTAAAGGAACAGCCCATTTTTCCCTAATATTTAATTCTTAGTCATACTGAAATGATATAATTTTTCTGTTTTTTTTAATAGTTGTTGAAAAGCTCAGAGAAATGATGGAAGAAATCGAAAATGCAATTAACACTTTTAAGGAGGAGCAGAGATTGATGTATGTTTTAAACACATTTTAATATAAAATTATTGACATATATATTTCCAATAACTCTCCACTAGGTTGTTATATATAAACCATTTTATTGTAATATATTTAACATTAGTCTTACACAAAGGCAACAATACTTTTCTAATTTTGTTTTAGGTTATAGATTGCTTTTCATGTCTAAAGTGAATGTTCATCTATATAGCGACACTATAAAATCTCAGATAAGAATTTAAAAGATTGTCTTATTCTCTGAGGAAACTCAAGTCTTTTTTTTTTATTATGAACTAGTTTATTTTTTATATATTACTAGAGGCCTGGTGCATGAAAATTCATGCACTCCAGGGGGGCAGTCCTTCAGCTCGGCCTGCCCCCTCTCACAGTTTGAGAGCCCCCAGGGGCAGGAGGCGACCCAGAGATCAGGGGAAGGCGATGTCCCCATCATAACACTGCTGCTGCCACTGCTGGCAGCGCAAGCCTCGGCTGGTCCTGATTACCTGAGCCTCGGGCGGCCCTGGGCGGCTGTGCAGCCAACATCCAGGGCCTGCCTGCACCTCGGGCTGGCCCTGGGTGGCTGGGAAGCCACCATCCGAGGCTTGCCTCCTCCTCGGGCTGGCCCTGGGTGGCTGGGGTCTGAGGGGACTGGGGGACTCCAGAGGCAAGCATATGGAGCGGCCAGGCCCGCCTGGGGGTGGGGAAACTCAAGTCTTTGATTTATAAATGTTAATAATGTTAAGTGGAGAAGATGACATGAAAAGAGAAATAATTTAAATAAGAGGAAAAATAAAGGGTTAATATGGATTGATTTGTATCTTATTAATCAAACTTTATTTTGAAATTTTAGATATGAAGAGCTTATTAAAGAAGAGAAAATAACTAATAATGAGTTGAGTGCCATATCAAGGAAGATTGACACATGGGCTTTGGGTAGTTCAGAAACAGAGAAAGCTTTCAGAGTGATGTCAGGCAAAGTTCCTGTAGACAAAGTAGCACCAAATACTCTTCCAGAAGAAGTTGTGGATTTTGAAAAATTCCTTCAGCAAACAGGAGGGCGACAAGGGGGCTGGGATGATTATGATCACCAGAACTTTGTAAAAGTGAGAAACAAACATAAAGGCAAGCCAACATTTATGGGAGAAGTTCTAGAACATCTTCCTGGAAGAAAACAGGATGAAGTTGAACAGCATGAGAAATGGTATCAAAAGTTTCTGGCCCTAGAAGAAAGGAAAAAAGAGGTAATAATAATTATTATGGCTATTATTTGTTGTATTTTTCTCTGTTCCAGCTACTGTGCTAAACTCTTTTAACATTTATTAATTTTACAACAACTCCATGAGGTATATTGCAGTTTTCCCCCTATCTTACAGAAGGTGCAGCAGGCACTGGGAAGTTTTGAGTAACTTAACTAAAGGAACTATAGTTGGACTTTCTGAAGGCCAAACATTTCTACCCCAAGAAATAATATAGTGGGCCAGAAAACTTCTGATTGTGGGCAAAACCTTCTATATCCACCAGAAATGTGGGAAATCCAGATATACTCAGGCTTTTGATAAAAGGCAGCCTATCAACAAAGGCCACATGGTTTTCAATCTATACTAATAAAAGCCTAGGTGGTCCTCGTGTGCGACATTGCCACAAGATGGCCACCACAAGATGGTCGTGCGCACAGCGGAGGCGGGGCCCAATGGCCACTCCGCGCAGTGAGGCCTGGGGGTCCCATGGCTCTATGTGGCATGGAGGAGGCTGGTCCCAGCTTCTCCGTTGCCTCGCACGGAGGAGGTGGGTCCCGGCAGGGGAGACGGGTCACAGAGGGGAGGGCAGTTGTGGGCAATCAGGCCACCAGGAGAGGGCAGTTGGGGGCAATTGGGCTGGCAGGGGAGGGCAGTTGCAGGTAATCAGGCTGGCAAGGGAGCAGTTAGGCATCAATCAGGCCAACAGGGGAGCGGTTAGGGCGCAATCAGGCTGGCAGGCAGAAGCTGTTAGGGGCAATCAGGCAGGTAGGCAGGCAAGCGGTTAGGAGCCAGCGGTCCCGGATTGTGAGAGGGATCTGACTACCGGTTTAGGCCTGATCCCGCAGGGCCTAAATCGGCAGTCGGACATCCCCCAAGAGGTCCCAGATTGGAGAGGGTACAGGCCAGGCTGAGGGACATCCCCTGCCCCCGTGCACGAATTTCATGCACCGGGCCTCTAGTCTATAACACTGTAACAACCATACAAACAGTCACCATGAAGTGCATGGAGCACCTCTCGGTCTCTCCCCCACAGCCCACGGGCACTGATCGCAGAAAGGCTGGTGGCTGGTGGGCGGGGCATTGGGCAGATGGGCGCAGCAAGGCAGGCACCCCAAGGTGAGCGTGGCGAGGCTGAGCACAGCTAGGCTGCAAGCGTGGTGAGGCATGAGCAGGTGGGCGGGGTGCTAGCGTGGTGGGCGGGGTCGCGTGATTTCGTGCGCTGGGCCTCTAGTGAAATATAAAGAGGCAGTAGAAAAACAAATTCACTCTTCAAAGTTTCATTGAGGTTTGGAACTTCAGCTTCATTGCTTATTTGAAAAGACTCAAGATTTTGACTACCCCAGAGAAAAAGTAACTAACTCTTAAGTGTAGCAAATACCTAAAAAGTTTCATTTTCACAAAAATATTCTTCTGGCTTTGGTTTTGTTAGGATTTCTCAACCTTGGCACAGTTAACCATTTGGGCTAGATAATTCTTTGCTGTAAATGCTGTTGTGTGCATTGTAGGATGATTGGCAACATTCCTGGCTTCCACTCATTAGTTCAGCGGTTCTCAACCTGTGGGTCGTGACCCCTTTGGGGATCAAACGACCCTTTCACAGAGGTCGCCTAAGACCATCGGAAAACACATATAATTACATATTGTTTTTGTGATTAATCACTATGCTTTAATTATGTTCAATTTGTAACAATGAAATTGGGGGTCACCACAACATGAGGAACTGTATTAAAGGGTTGCGGCATTAGGAAGGTTGAGAACCACTGCATTACGTGCTAGTAACACCTCGTTAGTTGTGATTATCAAAAATGTCTCCAAAGTGCAAAGTTGGGAACCATGGGTTCAGACACTTGAAGTCTGAGTCACATTTTTTTGTAGACGTCAACTATTATAAACTTTAACTCGCTTGAGTATGACTGTTCAACAGATGACTTGCCCCAGGAGTATTAAAGAAATATTGATCCCATGATTAGTCTAAATTTTTAGAGGAAATAGGTTGTGTTTCTTGTTTATCTCTCCTAAATAAGTTAAATGTAAGAAGATTGACATTTGGGACTTTAACTCATTAAGCGCCATGTCAGTCACTGGTGACTGAAACGGAAAGGAAGACAAAACAGGCTTGGCGCTTAATGTGTTAAGAAAAATTTTGAAACATAAGTAATTTTTTTAAAAATATATTTTATTGATTTTTTACAGAGAGGAAGGGAGAGAGATAGAGAGTTAGAAACATCGATGAGAGAGGAACATCGATCAGCTGCCTCCTGCACATCTCCTACTGGGGATGTGCTCGCAACCCAGGTACATGCCCTTGACCGGAATCGAACCTGGGACCTTTCAGTCCTCAAGCCGACGCTCTATCCACTGAGCCAAACCAGTTTCGGCATAAGTAATTTTTAAAAGCTCAAAAATAACAAGCTATTAGGTATTATTTAGTCTTTTTCCTGGATACTGAAAACATGGGGTCCCTGGACCAGCAAAGTGGTTCTTGGACTAGCTAAGTCAACATCACCTGGGAGCTTATTAAACTTACCAGGCCCCAGCCATAGACCTAAGCCAAACTCTGGTGGTGGTGCTCAGGAATTGTGTTTTAACAAGTCCTCTAGGTTAATCTGTTATAAGCTAAAGTTTAAGAACCACCTCTCTAGACACAGTGCCTCATGTAGTAAGGTAAAGCACCTTAGTTCTAGCTAGTTCCGGACCACTGTTTCCTGATATTTGATGATTGATTGATTGAAGAGGTGAGGTAGGAGGGGATATGAAAATGGAGGTAAAATTACTGAAGTAGGACATGGAGGAGGAGGAGGAAACTTGGGGGAAAGCAGCAAAATGTAGTTTTAAACCAACTCAGTTTAAGATGCTGAGTAGATTTACCATTTTTATCACCATTTGCCTAAAGATACTTATTTTCAGATATGCTCTGAACTTCCTGGCCTGAATACCCTTGTTTATCTTATTCCCACTTTCTGGAACCTCCATTCTTTCCCCTCAACTCCCATTTATCAAAATCTGCCCAGATAAGATGCTTCCTTCTTGTCCACTCAAACATAAGTAGTCCCTCTCAGAATTTCCTACTAACACTTTGTTTATACCTCTTTTATGGAGTGCTATAGCACATAATAATATATTCTAGAATATATGCATATATATTATCTCACCTAGAACAGTGCTACTCAAACTTGGTCCATGGACTGGCTGTTAGGTTGCAAACTGTTACTGGTCTTCAGTGAAATAAAGTGATTGAACTAGAATCAGCTGCCCACTAAGCACACTAGTTCAGTTTTGACTTTTTTTTTAAAATAGAAAACCCTCTTTTTGAAGGAAGCAGTACATTGATTTACATTCTGTCATGAATCTCTGAAATTGTTGTGGACTGGCACATTGAGTAGCACTGTACTAGATGACATTTGGTATTATTTGAATCATCTATGATTCCTATCACATTGCCTTCCATAGAGTATGCATATGATAGGAATGTACTGAATGAATAAATGAATGATACACCATGAGGAAAGATGAGGGAACAGTTTCCTGACTTGAGGGTAAAGGAATTCAGTGGATGTATCCTTTATGGCATAAAGAAGACTGCTAGTATTTTAAATAATCTTTACATACCCTGGTAAAGCAATGAAGCTAATTTGCTTCTTCTTTTTTTTTTTTTAACACTTATGAAGCACTACTTCTCAGGGACTGACTCATTTAATATTTACAATATCACTGCTGGAGAGGTATTACCTACCACTTTTACAGATGAGCAAAATGAAGACAGAGTAACTTAGTAACTCATCCAAGGTCACACCTAGTAGATGGTAAAGCCATGATTTGGTTCTAAGTGGTCTGACTTCAGAGCCCATACTCTCAACCACACCACTCTTAGTTCCTCTTCTGGTAATTGAACAAAGAGGGGTCACTCAGAAAGGATTTTACGCCTTGAAAGAGAATTTGGAAGCATAAGTAAGATGATCAGAGGAAAAGAATGTTTCCCATGAACACAAACAAATGAGGTGCAATCTTTGTGAACCTGGGGGTTAAGAGAGGACAAGAAAGGCCAAAAGAATAAATCATTATTCAGTGTTTTAAGAGACATTAATTTTTAAAAACAGAAGTAGAAAATTGCACTGGTTAAAAAACAAACAAAACACTTGGAAACCTAAGCATCCTGCAACCAATATTCTTTCTAGAAAGATGGACTTGAGGTTGTATTTTTAAGTGCTTTTGATTATTAAAATTATTTTTCCCTTACTATATTTTTTTAGTCTATTCAGAATTGGAAAACTAAAAAGTTTCAAAAAAAAGAGGAAATTTTCAAGGAAAAGGCAGAGGACATATCTATGCTTTCCCATAACAAACAAGAAGTTAATCAAAAGCAAAAAGAGGAACAAAGAAAGCAGCAGAAATTGGCAGTGGAAGCTTGGAAAAAACAGAAAAGTATAGAAATGTCAATGAAATATGCTTCCCAGTTAAAAGAAGAGGAAGAGAAAGAGAAAAGGCAGCAGAAAGAGCGCCAACGCCAGTTTAAACTAAAATTACTACTAGAAAACTACACCCAGCAGAAGAAAGAACAGGAAGAATTTTTAAGACTTGAAAAGGAGATAAGGGAAAAGACAGAAAAGGCAGAAAAAAGGAAAACTGTTGCTGATGAAATTTCCAGATTTCAAGAAAGAGTGAGTAAATATATTTTCTAAGTAATTTTAGAAATTATTTAGTGGTATTACTACCAATAGAGGTACTACTTCCAGATTCAGTGCAGGAAAAATTGCGTGCTTCTGTTATATTAGGCTTCTACCTACCAATGCTCCCTCACCCCGCCGCCCCCTCATTTCTAGTATATTATAGTCTAGTGGGAAAGATAGATGTGCAAGTATATTTCTGTATGATGTTGTAAGTAGTGTAGTGATTGAGGTAATTGTGGACAGAGAATCTTAGGAGATGGGTATGCAGGGAGGGTAGCTTATGACCATAGCTATTAGTGTTAGAGAGGCACTAAGATATTTGAGGCTTGAAGAAGAAAGGGGAGACCTTTGCTAGCGAAGAGAACAGCATGAATGACAGCTTGGAGAAGTGTAAGTGGTTTGTGGGGGAACCGTAAACACTTCGGTATCCTAAGGGCATCAGATGGAAAGTGGGAATCAGCCAGAGACAAGGCTGGAAAGGTAGCCACAGGCTAGACTACTTTTTCTTTGCCAAACTGACTGGCTTTTCCCCACAGATGATTGATTTCCTTACTTGCTCACTGTCCATCTCCCAACATAATAGAAGCTCCACAAGGGCAGAGATTTTGTCCTTTTGTTTATTCCTGTAACCTGTACATTGTAGATATTCAATGTATACTTAAAGGAATCAAGGCTATTGCTGAGAGGTAGGATCATAAATGATTTAAAAACGAATATATATAAGAAAATGCAATCAAAGAGATTATAATTTTATCAAAGTGGAATTCAGTCCAAAGAGTCTCAAAAAGACAAAGAAGTGTATTTACTTTAAAACGGAAAAGGATGCAAATGAGATAAAACATAGCAATATCGCCCTGGCCAGCTTGGCTCAGTGGATAGAGCATCAGCCTGTGGATTGCAGGGTCCCAGGTTCGATTGTGGCCAGGGGCACATGCCTGGGTTGCGAGCTTGATCCCCAGTGGGAGGTGTGCAGGAGGCAGCCGATCAATGATTCTCTCTCATCGTTGATGTTTCTATCTCTCTCTCCTTCTCCCTGCCTCTCTGAAATCAATAAATATATATATTTTTTTAAAAAACACATAGCAATATCTATAAAGCAAAAAATAAGGGAAATAAAAAAAATTAGACGAAAACACATTAGTGGAATTTCTTTTAGTCTCTATAAAAATATCTCCCTAAATAACAAAATGCCCCAAATGTGAGAGATCTAAAACCAGACATATCTGAACTGAAAGTGGGTTTAACTCACCTAGTAAAATAAGAAATAACCAACATAAAATGATTCCAAAAGATGTGCACGTGTCACATTTATTTTCAAGGAAAATAAAGCTTTTACTCTTGTTGGAAAAGGTCATTATTGAAGGAATATTGATATTTAAGGTGATTTAATTTTACTTCCAAGCAACTAAAGTTTGAAACAAATTTTAGTTGATTTTACTTTCTCATGTTATCTTTTTTGTTGGCATATGTTTTTTAGGATTTACGTAAACTTGAACTGAAAATTCTTGATAGACAGTCAAAAGAAGATGAAAAGGCAGAAAAACAAAGAAGACTGGCAAAATTAAAAAAAAAGGTGCTCTGTACTGAGATTATTTTTATTGTTATCCTAATTCCTTGGTTTGTAAGGATACAAGCATCCATTTTCTTTATATCCAGCTTGATTTCTGTACCATCTCCTTTAAAATGTACTTATTTAGCATAGCTTAGTACAATTTAAACTATTTTTTGAATTCTACCATTTCACATTATAAACACATTGTTTAATCTCAGTTGGTGATACTCACAGCTAAAGATATAGGTGACTCTCAACAAAACAAAGAACTTACTGGTGGATATTTATCCTAAATTTATTGCCTGGCTGTGCCACTACTTGCTGCATCATATTTCCTTCATAATATAAACAGAATAAAATAATTGAACTAAAAAAAGAAACTAAAGTAACAATTTATTGATAGATTGATGTGGTCCAACTTTTATTTTAGCTATATGAGTACAATAAAAAGTTTACAGAAGAGGTTATTAACAGTTTTTAATATCAAGTATTTTTCTTAGTAAGGATCACAAATACAATATTAATTATTTCAGATTCATTTTACTTCTGATTACAGGTTGAAAACAATGTTAGCAGAGATCCTTCTAGGCTTTACAAACCTACCAAAGGTTGGGAAGAACGGACCAAAAACTTAGGACCAACAGGCTCTGGGCCACTTCTACATATCCCACATAGGTAAAGAGGAGTTAGAATGAGTGTTGACTTTATAACAATTTAATAACTGCATGTTTCGCCTGGCTGGCATGCCTCAGTGTTTGAGTACTGACCTATGACGCAGGTGGTCATGGTTTGATTCTGGGTCACAACACATGCCCGGGTTTCAGGCTCATTCCCCGTAGGGGGCGTGTAGGAGGCAGCCAATCAATGATTCTCTCTCAGCATTGATGTTTCTCTCTCTCCTTCTCCCTTCCTCTCTGAAATCAATAAAAATATTTTTAAAAATAACCATGTTTTATATTTTGTGCAACTTTGATATGTATATTATATTTTACAGTAAAAAGTGATAAAAATAAATCTACATATATTTTTAAAAGTTAACATTTAATTGGCATAACTCGAGTTGGCCCACATTCACTTGGTTGCATACTTTTCACTTGTTTCACACTGATGCCCGCACCCTGGCCTCTTACTTTTTCTCTACCTGAATAAAACTTGCTTTATAAAAAAGTTCAAATAAAAGAAATAGAAGTTAACATCTAATCAGTTAGGATCTTTATAAAAATTTTCTGCGTATTTATAATTGCTCTTCTCTTCTTCTCCTTAGGGCTATTCCAACCTGGAGACAAGGAGTTTAGAAAAGAATATGAGATAATGAAACTGGTATTCAGTTGATGGGAATGTTAGCATATTCAGCTTGACTAGAACAGAGTGATTAACCACATGTGTTTTTAAATATCACTAGCTTAGACAGACTGATTATGGTGTTGTATGTGAATTGACAGATGTTAAGTTCCAAGTAGTATTGTCATTAGTATTTCCTGTTTATAGCAAGAGGGTATGTAATGTGTATGTTGGTCTATTATTATGTAAAAGTTTTTTGAATAAGTTTATGTTACAAATACTATTTCATTTAAATACTCAGAACATTTCAAAGATACTTTGTTTTTGGCATGGCACAGCAAAATAAGTTGGGTCAATCACAGAATGACATTTCAAACCAAAATTTTGTAACATTTATATTTTGGAGGTAAGTTAGCTTGAGTAACAAAAGTGTAAAGTTTTTTTTGGTTTGAATTTTGAAATAAGTTAGTACTTTTTCTAATTTAACAAACTGGTAGTTTATCAGTTACTACATTTTTATGTAATAAATATTTTGTATTTGTTCAAAGCATGCTTTGTTTTATATAAAGTATTTATATTAAAAATATGCCTCACAGTTCACACCTCATTTATACTCTATTATTTGTATTATTGATAAAATCTTTTTGGTTTCCTTTAGCTTTTCCAATTTTCTTTTCAGCCTTTCTGGACTTCACACATTTATAAAATCTTTGTGTCTTTCATATCTTCCTGCCTGATTCAGTTTTCTGCTTGTTTGCCTTAAAATATTTGTTCAAAATAGTTACTTTTAAAATTTATAAACTTTGGTATATGAAAACACAATGTAACAATTCGGCTCAACTTTTCATATACAATCTTAGCTCCTAACTTTAATTAGTTCTCACTGGCTTATAGGAAAGTTACCATATACATAATAAACATAGGAAACTTATTTCTTATGACTTTTATCTTAGATGTAACTTGATACATTTAGATCAAATGACTCAAATTTACTATGAGTAATAGTAGTCAAAACTTTTTCTTATTTCACACTTACGACTCAAAGTAAATATAATTTCTAAAGGGAATGGAATTCTTATACAGTTATTGGTGCAAAATAGAATTAATGTAAAACATCCTTAATCAGGAATGCACATTTTATTTGTAGTACTCATTTTCCATGAATTTTAAAAATGATTTGAGGCATTTTAGAATAAATTATAGAATAAGACAAGGGAATTTAAAAATAGAATTGAACAACTAAGAAGATACAGAAAAGTAAAGGTTTTATGTGCTACTTACTAACATGTTGCTTTTTTTTGCACACAAATGCAGCTTTCAATTTCCTGCATCTAAGGTAAGCATAGTGGGCAATGCTGTATGGGGTGTGTTTTTTTGTTTATTTTTATTTTGTTTGTTTTTTTAATAATAGAAAGTATGGAAGTTTCTTTGAACAACCAGTCCTTCTAAGTGAATCTAAAGTGAATGAGGAATTTGTTGTATGCCTCTTTATATAGACTACATAAAATAAACAACATGTCTTCAATTGCAAGCTCATAGAAGAGATGTCAAATAAACATTTCTTAAACTGGTTTAAAAAGTATATTAATAAGAAATTTAGAAAAAAACACACAAAAATGTTATAAAGCACCAATTCAACCACCCCTGGGTAACTTTTTCCAAAAGCATACCTACATATTTTTAAATAGCTATAGTCAGAGTAAGTTACTAACTATACTGTAAGCACTTTACATTACACATATTTTTCTACCTTTCTACATAATTTAGACATTATCACTTAATGGCTAAATAAGATTCAATTATAATGAGAATGCTCCATCTTTCTCATACTTTGAAGACTTGAGCTATTTAATACTTCTTAGCTAATGTTGAATGGTATTTTTTGTAGGGGTTAGATTCTGTCATGGACATGTCAGAAACCTTGTATGATCAAAATCACCCATGAAAAGCCTTTTCTTTACCTAGAAGAATATAATATTATTTTTCAATGAGCCCATCATAGAAGTATTTCCTCCTGATTTGGATCAGATTGCTGATTCTTGAGCTGAGAATCAGATGAAATGTTTGGCTTCCTTTTAAGCGCCAGGTTGAAGAGGATTGTCTTTCAGAGCATAGAGTGTGCATAGTTGATTCTAGTAGTAAGTTAAATGTACGTGATAGGACTCCACTTTGAACATCTTCAGACATTTGACGTGTGTGTGTGTGTGTGTGTGTGTGTGTGTGTGTGTGAGAGCGTGATTGTAATACTGTAGTGAAAACTCTCTAGATAGGGCATGCCTGAAGGGCGAGGACTGTGGACTCCATCGTTGTAGAGAAGCACCAAGGGCAGCCTCTGCTTATACCCAGCCATTTGTTGAAGACACGCAGGAAAGCCTGTAAACCTGTAAGTAGTACCTAAAACTATGCAAGGCACTCTGGATTGGTGAATAAGTATGAGATAACTCCAGCCCACGTGATACACTCTGAGAAATAAATTTTCTAACGAAGCTATTAATTAAAATTATACCCAAACTTCTATTAGCTCAATTGATTATAAACAAAAATATCTAATTTAGGCCTGACCCTTGGGTGGATTTCTTTTTCTCTCAATATTTCGTTACGAAGTTTTAAAGGGAAATGCTGAAGCAACTTAAATCCCTCTTTTTGAAAAAATAGTGGCATGTGATTTGTTTTTAGTATATGGGTAGTTGGAGAATAGGTGGAGCTTACTTGCTGATGCAAATTGATAAAACAGAGATGAAGTCAAAACATTGACTCAGAGAGTAAAACTTAAAACTTGTAAAAGAAAAACGCAGTCACCTGTGTGAATGTATGTTGTGCATGCATATTGCGTTTAGATATATTTAAACGTGATCTCTGATGTTCTCGAGAACTGGGAACGACTCAACTTTTGTAGTGTCAGTAATCACTTACTAAACATTTATTTATATCCACAGATTGAACTGTAGGTTAGTAACATATGCATTCATATCCCCCCCACCCCCACCCCCCATGAGTCTGTTGCAACATTTATATCGAGCCGTTCCTGTTTTCATATATACCCTCCTCGTGACCTTTGGGGCCTGATGTTCTCAACGCGCACTTGAAACTATGGACGTTGCCCTTCCTCCCAAAGGCCGAAGGAGGGTAAGAGTAGAAGAGGGATTTGTGGGCCGAACTTCAGTAGGCTGGCGAGGTGTTGCCGAAGCTTTGGGGTTTAGAGTAGGAAAGGTGGGTCGTGCTCTTCCTAAGAAGAAACTCGGCGATAAAGTGCGGCGGCGGACTTCCCGGTGACGGCGTCTCCAGTAAGTCCGCCCAGTTCAGCTCATCGGGACTCCTTCGCGCCGCTCGCCAAGTGCTTCCGGGGCACGGCAGGCGTCGCTTCCGCAGCAGCATGGCGGCCGCGGAGGACGGGCAGCTGGCGGGGGACTGCGAAGGAGAGCGGCTGGATTTCCTGCGGGACCGGCACGTGCGGTTCTTCCAGCGCTGCCTCCAGGTCTTGCCGGAGCGCTATTCTTCGCTGGAGACCAGCAGGTAACTGGTGGCCACAGTTAACCGGGCCGCCCCGGGCCCCGGCGCTGTTCCACGCTGGGCCTGTGATCACTCTTCCCTCCGAGCTGCGGCGAGAGGGCTCGGGGCGCTGTACGTCTAGGGCTTTGGCAGGCTCCAGTTTCCGCCTTTTTCACTTCCCCACCATATACCCTGTCCACTCCGAGCTTTTTCACTCCGTCTTCCCGGCCTCATCACTTTCGAGGATAAAAGAAAAAAGTCAAAGGGTTTGTCATATTTTAGATAAACAGCCTCTCCTGTGTTGCCCTTTCCCAATTCATTGGCTCTTTTTTTTTTTTTTTTTAAACGAGGTAGCATTGGTTAATAACATTATACAAATTTCAGGTGTTCAGCATTGTAACTCGATATCTGTATACGCTGTTGGGCGCTCATCACTACAGGTCTGTTTCCATCCTTTACCATGTATTGGACTCATTAACTCGTAACCGAATGACTGTCTTGTGTTTGATGTATAGGAGCAGCAGAGATCCTCTGAGGTTTGAGTAGAAGTGAACTTTCCAGGAACTGGAAATCTAGTGACAGAGAAGGTTGGCGAAGGAGGTGCGGTGCTGCTTGAAGCAGCCTGGGAAAGTGTATTTGCAGTGAGTGTGATCTGGCAGAGGCTGAGAAACTGAATTAGTCATTCAGAGGAGAAGTCGGGACGAGAAGGACGCGAGGAGGAGGAGGAGGAGTCTGCTCTGCGTTGCTGTTAAGTGAGGCTCCAAAGCTGCATGGGAAGAGCAGGTGGTTTTTGCTCTGATATCTCCACATTTTCTGAGCTCTGGGTCTTTGATGTATTTTGAACAGTGACTGGTCAGTTTTGAAAGTGTTATAGATTATTTCTGCATACTGTTCAGGAAACATTTATTAGTATGTTAGGTGCTGGAATACAGCTGACCGAGATAAGCAAGCAGTTTCAATAGAGTTCAATGCTATTAGTGTAGGTAGGATTCATGGGAGCTTGTCGGAAGGACAGTACCTAATCCAGATTTCTTTAGAGATGCCTTCTCTAATCACCCTTTCCAAAAGACACCACTTCCAGTCACCGCCCGAAACTATACATTTATTGGCTTATTTAATATATTTTTTTCATACTGGATTGTAAACTTCATGAAGGTAGGGTCTTTGTCTATCTTGTTTATTTAACATTAGGGGTGCCCTGTCCAATATGGTGGCCATTAGCCACCTTTGACTATTTAAATTTGAATTAATTAAAATTAAATTAAAAATTCTATTCTGTTTACAGTAGCCACTATAGTTCAAGTGCTCAGTCACCACATTGGCAATAGCTTTTGCTTCTCTTTCTGTCATCTCAGAAAATCTTAGTGGACAGCATTGTACTGGGACATTGAGCAGTTTGGGGCACACGAGAAGCATTAAATAAATATTTATGGAATAATGTAAGCTGAGCCCTGAGAGATGAACAGATTCTTGTTCAAAAAGAGTAAAGCATTATTTATATGCCTTTCTGTATCCATCAGTATTGATTGACTAGCAGAGCCCATACCTATACTTAAAATTTCCATTTATATAATATCATTAACCAATGTTACCTCAATAAATTTAATTTTTTTAAAAGAGTTCTAAAATCGTATGATATAGGATGTTAAGAAATATTTTGATAAACACTTTTTTATCTTATTGGGATTAATTTTATGTGAATTCGTAGCGTTTGGATAAAAAAAATCTTTCATCCTATTTTGATTGTTGAACTTTGTAGCTGTTATTATAGGTCTGTGGTTGGATTTTCAAAATGAAGGTGTGTTTGGTTTTCCCTTTAAAATTTCAGCATAGACAAAACCACATAGACTAATGCATATTGACCGTAAATTGTGTAATCCTAATCACAGTATAAGTAAAACAGCAAAAAATGTTTGGTTAAACAGCCAATTTAATACTTGATTTAATAACATTAGTATAATCTTGGGATCTACACCAGGCATTAAATATTAGATAATAGATATATAATATGGTACATTGCATTAGTTAAGAGATACTAATTACATATATTTTATGCCTCATGTTTGTCACTTGAGTAGAATTTATAAAAATCATTTTTGGTTTCTTATGGCTCAGTTAATAATACATTTAAGATAATCTGTACAACCCTGGCCGGTGTGGCTCAGTTGACTGGGCATCCCATGCACCAAAACATTGCTGGTTTGAGGCAGCCAATGTTTCTCTCTCTCTCTCCTTTTCTCTCTCTCTAAAAATCAATAAAAATATATATTTTTTAAAAAACAATCTGTACATACAAGTTTTTGTAGTGATTTTTAAAAGTTTTCAGTTTTTCTGTTTCCTGACTTAGAGTCTTTTCTTAGTTTTGCATTAAGTCCTTTTGTGGTGTATATGATTCATACTGACTTTAAGATACTTGTGGAGAAGCTCCAATCTTTTAAGCAAAGGTGATTGGTCACAAAACTTCTACTGATACTAGAGTTTTAAAATAAAACAGTGTGTTGACAAAGATGTTATTCTTTCCAGTACTGCAGTTCAATTCCACAGACATTTATTGAGTGCCTATGTGTGCCTGGGTATGGGGATATGGTAGTAAACCAATGATTCCTGTGTTCATTCCGTTTTACTGATAGAGATAAAACAGTTGACTCTAAAAGAGGCTAATATTGGGCCTAGCATTTAGATGCTTATTTTCTGACCCGCCATTTTGGCAAATTATTTCATTTCCCTTTTTCCTTTCGTTGAGAAATAAGAATAAATAATTTTTACTTTTCTAGTAATAATTGCTCTATGAAAATTCAAATGTATATTGTTTGTTGTTTTACCTGAGGTTTTTCTTTTATATTAGCTTCTGAAAAGTAGTTACTAGTCAACTAAAGTGGATATTAAATCTTGGATTGTGAGCTTTGTTTTTAAGCCTGAAAATTTTGAGATCATTTATGCTCCACTGGTGAAGTGATTTGATATAGGGACAAAAAATGTTACTTTTTCATTCATGTAAGATATACCTTTTATATGTATTGTTCAGAGTAGAAGAGGCAGGAAGACTTGGCTTGCTTTGGTTTTTCAGACTACATACTCAGAGTTCAATTTTAGGAAAAAGAAAGAATAGAGAAACGTCCTCCAAAGAAATAATAAAATAAAAATAACCTCATTGGCCTGATTTTAGGTACACACATGACAAGATTACCTCTCTGTATACCTGCAATAGGGCAGGTTGCACAGCAATCTGTACTCCAAGTAGCAATCATCTGGTCAACATAAAATCCTACATTATTTCTCCCAGAGACCCACAGCCCAAAATTCCTTTCTATTTCCTGTGGCCTGTTTAATTTTCTTCCTCTCAGAGTGTTAGGACTACTTGAGAACTCTGGCGTGGTCAGAAATCCTTTTAGGAATACTTTCCTATCTATTTTAGGGGGAGGCCCAGATGACTTCTTGGTCCTGTCTGCCAGCCACTACTGAACACTTCATTTTATAAACATAAGCTTTGCTCTGTAGCTGTTAATTCTATAAACCATAGTCTCAACTGTTATGAAATGAAAATGTTGGACTTTTAGAAGCCTTTAATAATTAAGTATGCATGATTTTAAAATAGGGTACCAATAGATGACTGATTTCTGGTATTTGTCTCCATGAATTTATTATGTTTTTGAATCAGGAAGACTTCAGTGGTTCCTTAGTAAAGATGGAATCTTACTGTTTTTTTCTTTTAGGTTGACAATTGCATTTTTTGCGCTCTCTGGGCTGGACATGTTGGATTCCTTAGATGTGGTGAACAAAGATGATATAATAGAGTGGATTTACTCCCTGCAGGTCCTTCCCACAGAAGACAGTGAGTGAGTTTTTAGCATTTTATTTTTAGTGTGACTAGCTGCACCTGGCATTACATGTGTTTGGATTGGCATATCTTTATTCATAAACTATTAATATATTTTATTCACCTATGTTTTTATTGTAATGCAACACTCCATTCTGTTCAAGTATAACACTTGAGTCTTTGAAATGTTAAGTGTTGCATTACAATAAAAACTCTTTTGGGAGAATAATTTAGAGTTGTCTGGGATTAAGAGATTCACAGTTGTGGCACCATCCTGTGTTGTGCACTTCCACATTGATGACTGCTTGTTGATTATTTGTATTTGATATTGGCAGAAATTATTTAAGATTTTATAATTTTCAAAAGCATTGTCAAATACTTTATTAAATTTGATCTGCCTGTCCCAAAAGAAGAAAATGAGAGGTGGAGTGATTAACCAGTTAACTGCCACGATATTTTGAATTTAATTTAAAAAGGTCCACTGCTTGCATCTATAGACGCTTATGGTGTACAAATGGTTACAGAGGCCACATACATGTTAAATAGTAGAGCCAGCATGAAATCCCAGGCTTCTGACTCAGAGCCCCAATGCTGCTTTGAAGTATCTACACTAATAAAAGAGAAACATGGTAATTGGCGTACGACCGCTACCTTTTTCATTGGCTAATCAGGGCAATGTGCAAATTAACTGCCAACAAAGATGGCGGTTAATTTGCATATGTAGGCACAATGCAGGGAGGCGAAAGGGAAACCAGAAAGAACCCCCCTGCCACTGACAGTGA